GAATACACAGAGATGCAATCTCACGAGAGGGAGATACCACAGTGAATTTTATTCGAAATGTTAGGTCTTTTATACCTAGGCAGGAGTCTAAGCTCCTCCTTACATGTCCTGATCCGTACATACATATACATAGGATAAGGCTACCTAGGTCTATCATAAGTAGCGTCCTAGAATGCTATTGGGTGTATCTAGCATGTGGGGTGCTAGCCCAATTTCGTACTACCTCAAGGGTATCATGCTAGAGTCGTAACTTCGGGTATAACCCCGGTGACTCACGTATTTTACTACTGTCACGGGTATATGGCCCCGTGGGTTGGTATGAGTCATAGTCCTAGTACGGAACGAGGACTAGTAGTTTTCAGTTTCTACCTAAACCTCAACAGGTCCGAACCTCAAAATTCCCTTCACACCGGATCTTCGCTCGGAGAGACTCTCCGGTTCTACTCGGACGCGGATTTTGCCGCCTGTAAAGAATGAATGAATGACACCTTTATTGTCAACAAACAAAAAGGGGGGGGGTGTTTTAGTTAGACGGTCTGCGCATTGGTTTGGCATGTAGCTTCCTCGCTATACGCCAAGCAAATTGATCAGTCAAGTCGACTCACGAAGTGGGAAGACTGGACTGGAATTCCACGAGTAAGGTGAAAGCGTTCATCGAGGGATAGATAGCGATTGTGATCCGGCGGCGACTAGGCGGTCTTTAAAGAAAATGAGTGGAGTAGCGTCGTCGTCGTGACGGTTGGTCTCACTCGTTGGGCGACGCGCGGAGAGTTAGTTTTTATCTAAGTCGCTGCCCTTTTGCGAACTGTACCTAAACGTGGCGAATTAAAGGTAGCTGAAGAAACGTTGTGAATGCGTCGTTTATTATCTTATGACAATTTTTGGTTTGACTCCGTTGTACCATACGGGCTTGTATGTATGTACATGGTTGATTAAGTTAACACCGCATAGGTTTACCCTGCGTTTCGTAGAATTGATACTATTCCATGTGTATATCACTTGATCCGATTACTGCGGACCTGACGCCGTACTGGCGAGTTGACTGGTAGCTTATGAGATCAGGAGTTGGCTGGTAGCTCATGAGATCAGGTTACTTTTTTCCGGTAGATTTTCCGGAGCCGTGTTGTTGTGAGCTTAGTTTCGCGAATCTCCTGTGAGGAATAGATGGAATGTGTGAGTTTGTTGGGTGGGTCTGGGTGGGATCCCTCGATGAACGCTTCCACCTTACTCGTGGAATTCCAGTCCAGTCTTCCCACTTCGTGAGTCGACTTGACTGATCAATTCCACTTCGACGGTTCCATCGTTCATCGAGGGATAGATAGCGATTTTACCGTTGTGTCATGAGCACGGCGGAGGACATGGCCGATGTCGCGGGTGGTCGAAAGTAATGGTTGTAGAAGGTGGAAGCCCGGGACCAACGCGCTGTTTGCAGAATTTCGGATACATTGACACCCCGTAAATGGGACGCGGTTGTTGCCGCGCTCCGTGTTGAGTGTGCCGAGTATATGGAAATGTCGATGCCCGCGGCCAGGAGAATATTCTTCATCCAGCGCGCTAAAGTGTCTTTGGAAGCGGGCCGGAAGGGTTTGCGGGATGTGAGAAATAGTTTGTCGATAGCTTGGCGTGAGGGTTCTGTAAGTGATACGTATGCGTCGAGCGTTTTTATCGGACAACGAGACTCGTTCTCAGGGTAAGCTCTGACTATGAGTGTAGGGGAGTGATGGCCGGGTCTGCTTGTTTTCGTTAGTCCGCGGGAGTAGGCAAATTCCCATTGGAACGTGTCGCGAGTGAGTGGCGGATAGCTCAAGTCCGCGATCTCGCCGATTCTTGCTGCTGACGTGAGCAATAAAAGAAGTAGCGCGCGGGATGCTGCTTGTTGTATTGATAGTGTTTCAGGTGGTCCCCAAGTATCTGAGAATGCGAGTACTGTTTCGACATCCCCATATAGCAGGGCGAGTTTTTGTTGGCGGATGTAGCGTTAAATATCCCTCTCATTAGTCGCCTTATGGTAGGATGATTCCCCACTTTGAAAGCTTCGATCGGCGGTAGTTTGTATGATAAACAAGAGCGGTATGTGTTCACCGTGGAATAGGAGTATCCTTGAGTGGCGATATGCGCCAAGAAGTTGCAGATTTGCTCTATAGTAACGCCAATGAGAGGGGTATGTCGTTGTTGACACCAACGAAGCCAACGATTCCAAGCGAATTTGTATGACGATCTTGTGCTTTCTCGGATAGACTGTTCCAGAAATCGCGTTGCTTCTGCGGACAGGTTAGAGGTGCCAGGCGCCAAACGACTAATCGTAATTTGTTGTTTAAGATTAGTGGGTGGGGCTCTCCTTTGTGGTCTTGTAGCAGGTCGTCGAATGTCGGGATTAGGAGAGGACGTGCGATGCAGCGTTGCAGTAGCCGGGGGAAAAAAGGCTGTGTGGGCCAAAGTGGGCAGATTAGAGATAGTTCACATGATGGGAAGAGGTCTAGGTGGGAGAGGCAGCGATCTACCAATTTGAACGGGGGAAACGCGTATAGGTTGTTCCACATGTCCCATTTCGATAAGAAAGCATCCATGCTGAGTGCGAAAGGATCTCTGATCCAACTGATGTAAGGAATGATTTTGTAGTTCGTGAAATCCGCGAACAGATCGATGTCGAAGGGGCCCTGAGCTGCGTCTAAGCGTTTGAATATAGCGTCGTGCAGTGAGAAGCTATGGTTGTCGCATGTTGTTCTTGACAATAAGTCAGCCCTGTCGTTGCATGTTCCTGGGATATGTGTAGCTTTCAGAAATATGTTTCTTTCGAAGGCCCAGGCCCAGAGTGACCTTGTTAGCGAATTTAAGGTTGAGGAGTGTAGCGAGCCGAAGTTATTAACGCAATGCATTGCAGTTGTATTGTCGGTCCGAATAGCGATCGTTGTGTCTTTTTGGTCATCGGCTAGTTTTTGTACCGCCAGGAAAATGGCTTTAAGTTCTAGCGCGTTGATGTGGAGATTTTGATCGTGTATGTTCCACGTTCCCCCGGACGCTCGTTGTCCACACCAAGCGCCCCACCCTTTGAGAGAGCTGTCTGTCGTTATTTCCAGTGAGACAAGTGGTAATTTTATAGGTCCGACCGCTATCATGTCTAGGTTTTCGGACCACCATATGAGGTCTTCCCGACCAGTGAGGGGTAAAGGCACTTCCGAGTCGAACGCACAGTTCTGTCGGGTGCTCTTGGAAACAAGTGAGGCCAACGACGAACAATGATATCGCAGAGATCGAACGATCGTGGTTAGTGCGTTCAGCTTGCCCAGTATGCGGTACAGCATTCGAAGTGTGATCCTTTGAGTTGCCAACAAAGTGATGATGTCTTGTTTTATCTGGTGACGTTTGTCTGTCGGCACCGACAGTTGCATCGTGGATGAATCGAGGTTATATCCGAGGAAGGTGACTTGGTCTGTCGGTTGTAGCGCGGATTTGGTTAAGTTTACCGTATAGCCTAGCGATTGCAATAAGTTTATGGTACGATCGACATGGGCGTGAAGTCGTTTGGCGGAGTCGCCAATGAGCAAAAAATCATCAAGATATACAATTAGGGTTATGCCTTCTTCCCGTAGCTTCGCTACTACCGGTTTAAGCAGTTTCGTGAATACTCGTGG